TGTCGTTTTTGGCTTGGTAATTCCCCTGGACTTGGGAGGCGACGAGTTGGGAGTCGGTGTAGATTTGTACCTCGCGGGCTCCCAGGTCCTCGGCTAACCTCAATCCTGCGAGCAGGGCCTCATACTCTGCTTGATTGTTTGATGTCGGGAAGGAAATAGCTAGGGAGTGCTCGATCACTACGCCCTCTTCATTTTCCAAAAGGATTTCTGCGCCACTTCCGGACGAGCTGGATGCTCCGTCGACGAAGATGGACCACTTGTGTTCCTTCCCTGGGGGTGGGTCATAAGTGGTCATCTCCGCGACGAAGTCGGCCAGGGCCTGCGCTTTCAAGGCTTTCCTACTCTCGTATTGAATGTCGAATTCAGAGAGTTCCAGGGACCATTTCAACATTCTGCCCGCCATATCTGGCCGACCCAGGAGTTGTCTCACCGGTTGGTCGGTACGCACAATGATCGTGTGGGCCAGAAAATAGTGTCTGAGCCTCCTCGCCGCATTGATGAGGGCTAGGGCCACCTTTTCTATCTGTTGGTATCTGCTTTCGGGCCCTTGCAAGGCTTTGCTCGTGATGTAAACGGGTTTCTGTCCGTCAGGTGTCTCGCGGACGAGAGCCGCGCTGATGGCTTCATTCGAAACGGCCAAGTACAAGTACAGCGGTTCTCCGTCGGCAGGTCGGGATAGCACGGGCGGTTGAGATAGGCTTTGCTTTAGGTGGCATAGCGCTTGTTCGCACTCCTCATTCCATTCGAAGGCCGCTTCCTTTTGAAGGAGTTTGAAGAAGGGGAGGGCGTGTTGAGCGGATCTCGCGACGAAGCGGGACAGCGACGTGAGCATGTCGTTCATGATTTGTATCGACTTCTTCGACGTCGGTGTTGGGAGGTCGGAGAACGCGCGGCATTTGTCGGGGTTGGCTTCGATTCCCCGTTCTGTTAGATAAAATCTAAGGAACTTTCCTGCTTTAACCCCAAACGTACATTTCTCGGGGTTGAACCTCATTTTACATTGCCTTGCTTGGGCAAAGACTGTCTTGAGGTGTGCTGTGTGGTCGGTGTCTTGTAGCCGTCCCTTCCCCGACAGTACACCTCAAGACAGTGTGGCCGATGACAAGGAAGCGTACTTTGACTTATCTTGTAGCCGTCCCTTCCCCGAACGTAACCAGAAGCTCGACATATCCCCAGGGTTTAGAGGTCGAGCCGTTGAAGCCTTGTAAGTCCGAACCCACATATGGCGAAAGATGGGAGTCGTCCAGCTGAAGGGTCCGGAACAGTTGGTTGTACATGACGTCGACGGAACTCCCTTCGTCGACCAGGATGCGATGTACATCAAAATTGGCCATTCTTGCCCTTATCAGTAAGGGGATGACCGCGTTCGGGGCTCCGCCGGGGAGTTCTTCCAGGTAGAAGGTAATGGGCTCTGACCTGCCCTTCACCCTTTCGAACGTCACTGTTTGCGGGGGAGCCGCGTCGACCAGTTCGTCCAGCTTCCTCTTGGCTGAATTGATGTTCAGGTCGTTGAACCCGCCGCCGTTGATGACCAGGGCGGAGGGGAAGTATTCCCACCTGCTGTGCGTTGTAAGTGGCTCTTGCAGGTGCTCGGGGAAGTCGAAATCCTTGGGCCTGGTCACGGAGAAGGCAGTTTGGATGGGCACCGACTCGTCAGATGGTCGGGCGTCTTCTTCTGGCTCCCTGGCTTCTTGGGCGTCACGACGGGGAGCGTCGCTTCGCCGGTACTGTGCGAGCCTCCCTCCCTTGATGAGGGTTTCAATGGCGTCCTTGAGGTGGACGCAATCCTCAGTCAGGTGACCATGGCTCCTATGGTACTGACAGTATTTGTTTTTGTCTGCTCCGGGCTTGGCAGGAGCAGGTCGGGGACGTTTGACACCGCCGTCCTTGAAATCGGTGCTGGCACACTCTGCCAGGATGCGCTCGCGGGAAGCTGTGAGCGGAGTGTACTCGGTGAAACGTCCCGAGGGTCCTCTTTGTTCCCGGACTTCCCGGGGTCTATCTTCTTTCCTTTTCTCCCCGGTTCGTCGAGGAGGAGGCTCTTGGCGTGAGCTGTTGTTGGGACCACGAGTCCTGGAATCTCGGGCTCTGTTGGCCGCCTCCCTCTCCTCGTAGTCCATGTATGCTCGGGCCTTTTCGAGGAGGGCATCAAATGTCCGAGGTGGCTCGATACCCACAGCCTTTCTGAATTCTGTACCGGGGAGGAGCCCTCTCTCCAGCAAGTATCTTTTCATATGGTCCGCGCAGGGGACCTGTATTGCTTCCTGGTTGAAGCGGTTGATGAATTCCCTCAAGGTTTCATCCTGTCTTTGGATGATGGCCTCGAGGGCCGCCTCGGTCTTCGGATGGCACCGAGAAGCTGTGAAGGAACTGATGAACTGGTTCTTCAGGTTCCGCCACGACGTAATTGAGCCCGGGGCGAGTCCTTTATACCAGTCCATTGCCGCCTTCCTGAGAGTCGTGGGGAATAGACGGCACTTGATGGCCCCCCCGACATTGTGATAATGAAGCATAGCCTCGAACCCGTCTATGTGGTCGACCGGGTCCGCGACTCCATCGTACTCCTTCAAGTGTGGGGGCTTCTCCATGCCCGGGGGGATGGGTGCCTCCATAATAGCCTGTGACAGGGGACCGCGGGGGTCGTCCTCGTCGCTTCTCTCCGGAGATAGAGATGGGGACCTGTAATATTGTCTGGCACGACGGTCCAGATCGTGCTGAGTTTCTCTCGAGCGGGATGCTCGGCTGTTGAATTTCACGCGCCCATCCCCGGAGTGCCTTCTTTCTAGTATCGTCGGGTCGCGACTGGGTTCTTCGGCCTGAATGACGGGCTGCCTCTCCAGGTACGGCCGTCTCTGCTTTGGCCGGGGAGATGGGCTTCGAGAGGTCTCCCTGTAGTGTCTCCGCGGGGGAGAAGGGTGTCAAGCTTCAGTCACTCGAGGAGGGGGAGTATGTGGTCTCCGATGCCTCCTCGGGGGTCTTCGCTCGTCTTCAAGCGCCTTTAATCTCTCTCCTTGGGTGAAGATGAGATAGTTCGTTTGATTAATTACCGCGAACAGCGCTTGCGTTGTGGCATCCGCCCCGGAGGGGACGGGGACTTCCTGGAACTGGGCGGCTCTGTAGTGGGCGAGGGCCGCCGGGTCGTCCTCGAGTGGTGGTGGGAGCGAGGAGGATGATGCAGTAACTCCGTCCCTGTAGGAGGAAGTTCCGGGGGCGGTTGTTGTAGGAATGGTGTTGTGGCCGGGATTGCCGGCGTTGTCGAGATGTCCGTTTTTGTCCGCCGCACCGTTATTAGTGTCGGCGACACGGACGTTCTGCTCATCGCGAGCTGGATCAGCCATGACAGGTAGTTGAATTTGAGCTTTGGTCTTTTGAGTTGTTTGTAAGACGGGGAAGCTAGTTTCCCACAGACGGCGCCATTGATCTAACCTGATCAGACTTGGACCGTCACGGCTGGCTCCGAGCTGAAAGTTTTGAACGAGGTGGGGGGTACCTGCAAGACACTCTGATGCTGAAGTGAGTAAGAGCACGAGCAGGCAATAGTAAGAGTATGGGTAGAATGATGAATACCTGACCCTCTGAAAACAAAGGGTATTTATAGCCCCCAGCGCTGGGCCAAGGTTCCTTCATTGGGTCGGGCAGGTTTGGCCCAATGGAGGAACTGCCAGGTTCTACGTGCGTAGTGGGGACCTGCACGTGGTTCCCTCCTTGGATGTTCTGCGTGAAGTGCGGGCGGACAGAGACGCGGTCTTTTCGGAGTCCCGTGAGAATGCAGTGGACTGAGTATGCCCTAAGAGGGGTGCTTGGGGTGATGTCGAGCTGGACAGTAGGCGGTCGAGCAAGTAGCCTCAGCGAGCACGTGGGGCACGACTGTGACCCTTTGGTCGGCGTGGCCCCCAACAAGTCCGTTTGAATTGGGCCTTATCAATGCTATTGGGCCAGTCGGGCCCAGTCCAGAACAATATATATATATATATATATATATATATATATATATATATATATATATATATATATATATATATATATATATATATATATATATATATATATATATATTTGATATGATAAAACACTTCAAACTTACTTTGAAGACGAAAAGTAGATTGAGAATGGTTGAAGTTTTGTAGTAGGTTTGATTATGAAGAGAATGAAATAATAATATAGGTGGTCATGCACAACAAACTAAAATAACAACAATATTTTCAAATATACATATACCACTAGATGTTTAAATCCAACATTTAAATAATAATGTGTAAAAAGAGAAATTTTCGAAAATATATTTTCGAAACAACTTAAAAATTGATTTAGAGTACGTTCGGATATACATCTCCAAATCACCCTTTATGGTGCATTCGAAGTTGTATCTCCGAAGAGCATTTTGAAATTTTCAGAAGTTTATTTCCCCCTATAAGGGTATATTAAGAAATTCCCAAAAAAAAAACAAAAAAACAACAATCATCTTAGGCCCATGGAAAGATTCTTAGTGAAATCAAATGCAACTATTTTGTCTATTTCTTTCATTCTTTGCTTGCTTCAATAATATGCTTATATGGAGCATGAAAAAAAGGCAGGGTTCAACCTTATCACAAAATTGCTACTTCTTCACTTCATATTAAAATTAACACAACAACTTCCAAGAATTGATGAAGCAGCAATAACACAATACAAGGATGTCTTTATTGTTGGAAGGTATGACACAAAATAACATATATAATTAAGAGCAAATACATTTTTGTTAGAATGACATAATTTTGGAATAGTATGAATTAAGTAGAATGACTATTAACATGGACTAAATTAAATTGATATACCAATATAATTGTTATTATTGACAGAAAAAATGTAATTTATGCCGCTTAATACTTCAGAATTTCATATAATTTAAACAGAACAAATGAGACTGAGGGAGAACCATCTTGAAGTTGCTCAATTTTCACAAGTCTACTTTACATGGTGAATGAACACTCCATTTTCATATATACCTTCATAATACAAAACTAGACTTGTTCCGGGTGTGAATTCACAGTTGGTGCTGGTGCTATGGCAAATTGCAGACCCCTATGCTGCCCGGATTGTAGCACAATCGCAACTTGAGTTGCCGCTAGTGCTGCAGCCTCCTATTACACCAAAACATTAAACGATAAGAATATTGTGGGTTTACATCTGCATTTGTCAAATATTTCCCGCAGAAGAATCAAGAAATGTGAAGAAACTGTCACTTTGGTACGTGCGGTTATATTAAACCGCTTCAACTATCATAAATTACTGTCGTCGGTGTCGGTGTCATATCTCTATGTGATAGTGGATCATAAAACATGACTAAAAATGCATCAAAAAGCATGATTTTAAAACTGACACTTACTTGTCTTTGTCGCCGCCGTTGTAAAATACTGATTGCCCAAGCCATGATATAGCAAGGTAAAAGAAAGCCAGCTGCTCGAAGCAAGAAAAGCTGCAGATAATGATCAATCAGCTATGTTTTCTCCATAACATTTTGAAAGCAGCACAGCAACTGTATGAATGTGATGAACTACTTAGCCAATAGGAGGAATTCAAGTTACTTACAGAGAAAAAAGTCGATGGATCATCATCAGCATCGGCATCTGTGACAGAAAGAGCGTGCCTCAAAAGTAAAAGGGCCATTAACTGCACCAAATTTATAGAATGAAACAGGCTTAAAATCATGTCCAAGTGTAAAGTGTAAGCCTCCTAGCATAGTCAATGTGTATGAAGGCCTAAAGTTCATTGAAAGTACAATTGATTTTCACACAAATTTCAAACATATAATATACATTGTATCACTTCCATTAGTGAGGCTTAGCGAAATCGTATGTCTGGTGCGCATATTCATGACTAAATTATACAAAATGAAATTGTTAAAAATAACTTCAAGGTTAATGTCTTACAATTAGAGCAGCTGAGCGGCAAAATGCAGCTCCGTTGGCATTAGAAGCAGCATATCCATCATATTCAGCTTCAAAGAATTGGCGTTCTGCCTCTGCGATTGCCAAGAGTCGAGGATCACGCAAGTCCAAAGGCGTGCCAGAAAGTGTCCAGCCTCCACTGCAAAAGTGTTCACAACTCATTAGTGAGAAAAAAAGTTTCAAACATATTTTCAATAGTATGAAACAGATTGCTTATACATGTAAACCAACACTCTTTATGAAGAAGACTATATTAAGATTGAAAGTTTCAGCTTACCCTATATCAATGGTAGTTTCTTCGGGATGTGGACGAGGTGGTGGAGCAATATAGCCAGGTTCATAGGTCTGAGTATTACATGCACAACAAGAAAAAACTATCACTAACAATGAGCACAAAACTAATAAAGCTGAAGATATATAATCACATGTAAATGAGGCATACCTTATGACATATTTCACAGGTTGTGTCTCCTTTTTCGTTGCACCAGCGTTGGACACACTTTCTATGAGCATACTGTACCAAAAAAACATAATTAAGACAACAATGTATCATGAACAACAATGTTCGAAATTATAAAGAGGTTGTTGTGTTGCATTATAACCAATTAATAACACATCTAACATGAATGACCCCTTTAATTAGAAATGTACCTTTAGACTACCGCTACAGGCGCATGGATTCTCGAGATTATTGATACTATCTTCCTCCTGACAAATCCTGCACTCCCCCATCTGCAACAGCGGCTCCTCCTCACCGTCATCGTCCTCCTCCGCCGAAGAGCCAGAAGGCCCAGCCGGCGATTCAATCACCGGAGTCATCGGCTCAAGAGCCAAAGGCTCAACCGGCATGGGCCGGACAAGCCGGTCTACAAACAACACCAAATGATCGCTCATTGATCTTTCTTTATTTTTATTTCTATCAATTTAATTATTCAATTCTAGATTTCAAGCTACAAAAAAGCACCCGAGAAGAAAAAAATAAAAATGAAAAAAAAATCTGGAGATCAGGCGGTGAATCGGCAGATCCCAAGAGAATGATGGAATCTGAGACTCACCGGAGAGAAATGAAGGAGAGAAGAAGAAGAGGTGTTTATAGAGCGAGAAAGAAGGGAAGAGAGAGAATGTGAGAGAAAATTAGATTCAACGTATATATATGGAAGATAGCGTTGTGGTTCATTGTTTCGGTGGTGGCTTCGTGGAATTAGAATGTGGAAAAGGGTAAAATAGGGATTTTGAGAGTTTTGTCTTTTGTTACTTGCCGCGTAAATTACCCGTTCGCGTTCTTCTCGGGTTTGGGACCTACTACCTCCTAGAGGACAGCTTCTCGTTTTCTCTTTTTGCCATTATTATTCATTTTGACTGAGCAAATTTATGTAAGTGTAAATTTTTTAAATAAAATATATATATTTTTAAAACTTGTGAGAGAAGTCCGGAAGGTATAAATTAAATTCAGAAAAAATGAAAAATTATGAAAATTGATTAGAAATTCCTTGAAGTGACTGTTTTAAGCAATCAAATTCTCTAATTTTTTATAAAAATTTCTTGAAATTAGGCATTAGTAGAGATTTAATTATTATCTATAATATAAAATAAATAATTGTTTTGAAAAAAAGTATATTATATCATTTACTCTATTTTTGTCATGTCATTAAAATGAGGATAAATTTAATTTTAAATTTACTTTATTGATTCAAGTTTGCCTTACAACCAATATAGTTGCTCAAATTAGTCATATTTTAGTATGTTTTAGCTTTTATTTAATTTATTATTTTATTTTATTTTTTTTAAAATCAATTAGTTGTTCCGTCACCATTTTTTTTTAGATCTCATAACTTATTTGAAATAGAGTATTGTTTTTCTTCTTTCTCCGAATTTTGTACTTTCACTTTTTTATACAACTTCTTCTCTCTCCTTCTACCACATATATGTTTCGTCTCCTTCTACTCTCTCATTATTCCTCCTCTTTCTTCAACTTATTTCTATGTCATCATCTTCTATCTCTCTCGTCATCTCTTTAATTTATCCTCCAAACATTAGGTATCATCTCTCTATTCTCTCTTGTATTTCTTCATCCCTCTATCTTTTTTTCTCTGAACCAAACCCTAACTGTGAATAGTTTCCAGTAGGGATTGTTTCTGCATCGACGAGATTATTTTCGACAGATTCCAAGTGTGATAGTTCAGTCTATCGTCAGTGATGCGTTAGGGGAAATGAGGGGCTGATATGTTGTGCACGGTAAGGAATGGTTGAGTTTTTTATAACATAACTATTTTTTCTCCAACAAGTAAACTGACTAATTTATAATAAAGGGGAAATTTTGTAGACAACCAATATTTCATTCATTCATATTGTTGAATATACTTCTTTCCATGTTTGTATTTTGTTAAGCATCATAAAGTTGTTATTCATTATTGGAAATTTTGTATAAACAAATAATACAAGACAGAAGAAGAAGAGGGTGCAAAACAAAGCTTGAGACGATGTATGCCTCTAATTTTGAATATTTGGGTTCCTAAAGTTTTAAGAGTATGATATAAATTCCTTGTTGTTAGTTTCATATTTTTGAAGTTGGTATAATTTTGCTAAAACGTGGTTCTATTGATGTTGATTAAGATGCTACAACACTTTTATCAATTGTCATAATAATTGTGTTGTTATGAGTTTTTCAACCAGATGTCGAAGCAGATCTCATGACATCTTTGTCTGGTACAACAAACTTGCACTGCTATTTTTAAATCTTGACATATTTGATTTGATTATGTTATATTTCCTTGGATATATATCAGATATTTTCGCAGGCCAGGAAGATTTTTTTAGAACGGGTTATATATATATAGTTGTACATTAGTTACTAAATTGAGCCTTGAAACAATTTAGAAAACTTTGTATTAGTTGTTACAATATTTAAGGAGATTTTACTGCATAATTGGTGCATCACTCAGCTTATGGATCAAGAAACTTCTGGATGCAGAACTCGAAGCCCATGAACTGCAGATGTGTATTTAAAGAGAAGATCTAACCTAATGTAATTAGTTCTTTCAACTATTGTAAAATTAGGGAAAGAAAAATAGTCTTAGGTTTTGAGAGTCTCTTGTGTATTGTATGGTGTAAGCCACCCTTGTATCTTTTGATACTTGTGATCGAAATTATGTTCTCACTCAGAAGCCTTTACACAATGATTTGAGTATTCTTCTTGGATTAAGCTTTTAACCAAATCCAAGTATCATTCTTAGTCAAGAGTCTTGGCTAAGTATTATAATGGAAGTATGATATTTTTGTTGAGTTATACTCAATACAGTCACTGGGATTGGTACTGTTAGATATCACTGAGGTGATTTAGGAAGTGAGATGGAGATTTCTCATATCTAGGAGGTGTCTAGGTAGAAGTTGTATTAGGTAGGGATTAAGCGAGAAGTTGTAAAATGGGATTGTTTAGCTTTGAACTAATACTACTGATAGTGGACTTTCTTCCTGGCTTGGTAGCCCCTAGATGTAGGTGAGTTTGCATTGAACTAAGTTAACAACTCAATGTGTTATTTATCATTCTGCAATTTAAGTTGCATTATTTGTTATAACTTGATGAATCTTTTCAGGATGTCAAAACAAATATTGTAACATTTGTCTTGACATTGTTCTGATGTTGGAAAATCAGTATTATCACGTGTTTCCTATGCTAGAGAAATTTCAATTAGTATCAGAGCAGGCACCCTGATCCATTGGGTGAGCTACAGTGAGTAATTTTCGAGTACTATTATTCTTTATGGAATACTCGAGTGATAGCATTCTAATTATCTATAGACAACAGAGCTTGAAGAATTATCAGGATAGGAGACTCCTGGTTCTGAAGAGATAAAAGGGAAGAGGTTGAGTTGGCTCTTTGTCACTCTGAAATTATCAACTTCATATTCTATGGAATTGGTAAGTTCTCTACATCACTTATAATGTAGCCAAAGACACTTGGAAATTTCTCACGTCCACTCATAAAGGCACATTAAAGCGTGTTAGGAAGAAAATAATTCAGATGTGAAAATGATCAAGAAGAAGTTTTCTTAGGTTTCTAATCAAGAAGTTTGACATGAAAAGTGACAACCTATTGAAGAACAACAAGAGCTTTCTTTTTCCAACTTCCAGGAAATTGTACCCTGGTATCTAATGAAGGGTCTCTTGTTATTATTATTATTGTTTTCCTTTGAAGACAATCCAATCAAGTGTTGAAGAGTTTGAACAGGATATCTAGACCAAATGTCAAGTACATTTGTACTAACTTCAGCATGTATGTGATGCTAAAAAAAAGGTTGGAATTGGAGTATAGATCAATCAATGTCAAAGAATTCATCCATATGAGTGTAAAAGCATTTTAATGAATATGATGACCTTGGATCTTTGTAGAGAAGAATTCCCTACTTATCACAAGAGTAACTGTATGGGTTTTATATATCTGGTTTGAATGGAAGATGGACTTCTAATGAAGATTTCTATTTTGAAAAATTATTTCATGATGTGTTGAATATTTGTATTTAAAGATTTGTGTATCTAGAATAAAAGGTGTTATCAACTATGAAGAAATAGGAGGTGATTTATTTCTGATCTTATGTCTTAAGAGAATGAAGGATTTTTTACCATATATGACTTACAAGGTAAGGTGACTATATTATTCCAAAAACTTGATATCAAAGATCAAGTCTGAAAGGATAGTCAGTTTTGTTGAAGAAGGTTCCTCAAGTGGAGAGATTATTGAAAGGATTTGGGTTTTCAAGCTATGTTTGGCAAAGGGAAAACTCAAAGTGACAAAAGGTTGTTTTTATCAATAGGCAAGTTGAGTCAAGGATGTCATAACATTATGTTGAACATCAGCTTACTCATGCTAAAGGCATATACTTGCATTGAAGATATATCTTCTGTGAAAAGTTGATCTTAACAGATTTGGTTATTTCTCAATGTCAAGTTCAGTTTTGTTTAACCAAGCAGTGATTAATACTTAGGGAAGGTGATTATTGCCTTATCTCTCATACCTTTCTTAGATCTCCAACTAAGGTGTTTGGTATTTTGAATCTAAATGTTATAGACATTTAACTACAATAAAAGTGTTCTCGGTGGTTTGTTTAAGTCTCATTCCATCATTGTTTATTGTGTGGTTGATACAAAAGGAATGATTAAGGGCGTTAGATATATAAAGAATTCAGGATGGATTCTCTAAGTTTTGGTAATTGGTTTTCTTCTTACTCAATGACTGGTGACTATTGTGTAAATACAAGTCAGTTGTGTGATCAAGGTATGAAGGTATATGTCATCATGGAAAAACATTTTGTCACTAATGAGGTGTATGAAGTTCCTCTGAGGATTTAAGAACAATTTCTATTTGTGAATTTTACAAGTATTTAGTTGTTTATCCTTTTACTTAGTGTTAAAGAAAGAAGAAGTCAAGACGTCAAACCAGAAGGTGCAACATCAGACAGTTGCAAAAGCTCTAGAACATGTTCTATGGGTCTGTTTGGTTCAATGCAAGGTGAAGGTCCTAGTGGATATAAAGATATAAAGATACATATATATATATATATATATATATATATATATATATATATATATATATACATATATATATATATATATATATATATATATATATATATATATATATATATATATATATATATATATATATATATATATATATATATATATATATATATATATATATATATATATATATATATATATATATATATATATATATATATATATATATATATATATATATATATATATATATATATATATATATATATATATATATATGATTTTCTTTTGTGTAAATCTATTATCTGTGAATTCTTCAAATAGTCTTATCTACTCCTTGAATGAGAACAAGGTATGTTTCTGAGTTACTTTATTGA